TACAACCAGTTGTAGCCTGTTACCTCCTAGTGCCAATCCCAACAACGTCTCTTAGAGTCAACCACGAGGTTCGGAGTCTTGGAGTGTCTATTTCGTCGAGGTTCTGGTTAGTGCCCCATGCAGAGAGTCAGTCTAAGAGATACCACACGTACCTAGTTCGTATATGGTCTTCCATGATAATTGGGTCAACGAACTAACGTGACAATGCTTGTCAGTGAACCAATAGACCGAACGCACTGGAGAAGATAACTACTCACATTCTTCCATCCAGCTGGACATAGAAGACACGTTCTCCTTCTCTCCCTACGATGCGATGGACCTATGAGATCGCCAAATAGAATTGCATCGGCATCAGGCTCCAGGGCATCCAGGGAATTGATGAGAGCTTGACGTCGAGGCTCATCCCCGGCTCGGTCCTGCTGCAATGTCGCGCGCTGCTCTCCATTCACGATGGACACAAGAGGAGACTGATCAGACAGGTCGTGCGTGTGGACAAGTTCCGGTAGAGGTTGATCTTCTGGAAGGTTAGGCAACATGCCGGCGAGACCAGCAGCTGGCCGTGCTATGGTCCACCAGCGGTGCTCAGTCGCGTAATGCGTCACCTGATTCGGACGAGGCTGCGTGTCAGCATTGACGGAATAGAAACAGGGAATTAAACTTACGAGCTCGTCGAATGTAGTTATAGGGGCTACTAAAGGATCGCATCGCATGCACAGGCATGAATCCCCCAAATCCATAGCTTCAGCGTAAGTGCTGGTTGGACCGAGGTCCAACTCCTCCAGCAGTCTAAGGATCAAGGGGCGCAAGTCCCTCGCGGTCTTTAGCCCAGTCTTGACGAATCTCCCACCAAGCCAACTTCTATCCTCTCTCTCGTACAAAAACGGCTTCTTGACGCAACACTTGTGCTCGGTGATCGTTGGGAACCACAGAACGTTTCGACAAGTGGAGTTTGGGCAATAGAAAGCCGATGTAGCGAGCGCCAACTCCCCGAAATCAAGTTGAGATTGGAAGTTGATGTCGGATACCGATATCTTGTGGTAGCTTTCGATTGGAACATCCAATTCATCCAGAGGAATACTGAGTGGCTTGTCTGAGTCATGCTTCAAAATGCGCTGAAGATCGGCAACAAGTTGTTCCTGGTGGATTCGATTGACGCGTTCGACTTCGTCTAGCGTCATGGTCCATAATAAGCGACAAGCGAATTTTGAGTCTGTTGCTTCCACAATGTTGGCTACACTGGGAATTTCCAGCACTCTCCGAGGATCGAGGAACGTTCCTTTGGGTAGTCGGGCGTCCATCGCGATTTGTCCTTCGACAAATTCTGATAAATATTCCGCGATGGATTTCTTTCGTAGTATTTTCCGAGCACCCGATTCTTCGTCAAGCCGAGCTTCGCGCCCTTGTTCTAAATAGGGCATGAGCTTGGGATAAATGTTTCTCCATACTTCCGTGATTGCGATGAATCAGTACATAGCCAACGCATGAGAGTAAGCTCAGAAAGCGAGGACTTACTACGATCAGTCATTGGTTGAGGAGAGCACATGAGGCGGTTCAGCGTCGCGTCCCACCGCCATTGTCTTGGTATGTCTCCGGGCTTCCAACCTGCCGCAACGATTCTCTCTTTGATGCTGGAAAGGGGGGGGGGGAGAGAAATCAAGCGCGTCAGTCCGGAAATCATAGCCTTTAGCACCAAATCCACAACTTTTGGAAGCGTTGATGTCCGATGGCGGCATTTTCGTCTCTCCGAGCCCTCATCTGACTTCGGCTCCATTGCTCCATATCTTTTCCCGTCTAGGATTCGAGAGCGCAGTCAGCCAAAGGGTAGATCGACGATACCGTGAAACAAGTGTAACCTTGAACAGCATATCGCACAACTTTTGCAGAGAACCGCATGTTTCATCCAGTAGCCTTTCGTAAGACGGGCTTTCGAGTTCTTCTTGTTCAAGTGTGTGCTGAGCATCTTCGACGAGTCGGCGAATGTACAGAGTTTGGCCTTGGTCGGCTCGCCAGAAAGGTAGGACTGAATTCATAGGATTAGACTTCTCGTAGAAGCGGAAATGTATTGAGGAACTTACCGCTGTACGAAGGCATGGCATCTAAGAGGCGTTGAGGGATAGACGGCCACCCGTTCTTGATGATATCGTAGGTAACAGTACTAGCGTTTTCGCCCTTCAGTTTTATCGAACGACAGCTCAAAGGTTGAACCTCACTCACTGGACATTCAGACACGGAGGGCATAACCGCATTCGGAATCGATGGATCGTCTTGCGCGTCTGGGTCTCGCAGCACTGTGGCGGATGGGCGGATCCACTTGAGTTATAACGCGCTCCATCAAACTCGGTTGAAAGTCATGAAAGAGACTCGCACCTGGCATCCAACGTCAAACATGAGCGACGCGTATTCGGGCTCTGATAGATCTAGTGGGCGCTCGGGGAGATCTAGAATGCTTGCTCTGGCATCCTCCCAAATTTGGCGAGAGTTCTTCGACATCAGAACTGATCGAAAGCGTTTGGAAAGCCGAGCAAGGTTCAAAAGGTCGAGGGGCTCGACAGAGCGGCAAACCTACCACGGCCCTAGAGATCAGCGTACAACATGGAATTCAAAAGGGTTCGACACGCCTCGAGGAATATTTCGACTGGCAGGGCTCCAAATCCCTTCCAAGTTGTGGGGGTTAACTTTTCACCCCGACGAGACTTTTGCGCTCGCCCCGAACTAGTTTTACCATAAGGTTCTTCGTGATCTTTGTGGGCACTCTTCCGCTTCTTTTTCATTCTTCTATTGGAGGTCGAGGATGCTAAAAATTGGTTTAAAACCGTGTCCAGTCATACAACAAGGTGGCACTTTCTTTGTCCTTACCGTCGCTCTGACCATCGGAGTCAAGCCCTAAATCATCGGACGCGATATAGCTAATTCTCTTTCCACGAGTGACGACCATGATATCGAGAGTATGAGCGGATACGTGTGTGAGGAGCGTGTAGTAAGTGAAAAAACGCGATGTGATGGCGGAACGGAAGTTGAGGGGTCTTAAACTTGAAGTGAAGCGGCAAAACAGAAACAGCGAAACGCCACAAACAAATTCGCTCTGCCAGATTCACCGCCCGCAGTCTCTGACGTGCGGCCCCCCTTAAACGGATCTGGAAGTTAAAACTGAAAGGGTGTCGAGAAGGCACCCGAGAGAAAATTGCCCGGAAGCCCGATGACCGCGCCGCAGTTCGCTCGGTAAACTTCATTTTTTCCGGTGGGACACAGTCCAAAAGGTTTAATTCTTTTCCAAAATCAAACAAAAATACAACCATCAAAGTTATTACTACACACGAAAGAAAGTCGTAGCTGTGCGGCATCTAGCCGTCAGTCGGAGTCTATCCGAGTTATGGGTGAGCACGTCGTCTCCGAGGCGCAGAGATTCGACTCCGCGCGATCCTTTTGCACATGATATCGTCACAATTATCTTCCTCCTTGGGGTCATTGGTTGAAGCCTGGTCTGATCCATCGGTTGTAATGCGTTGCGCTGGAGTGTGAGGAGGAAGGTACGTCGCACCGACAGAGCGCATGTGATGAATGGCGGGAAGAGGTGCCTTGGCACGCATCTCGACCACGGGGGCACCGTTGACCGTCGTGGCGCAGGCAACGAAACAGAGCGAGAGAATGGCGAACCGGGTGAAGCTTGAGGAAGAACCGCGCGATTCCGAGTGCGAACGGGTTTTGGTGTTGGAGAAGAACAACATGGTCGGTGGCAGTCAAGGTTTTACGTTTGATGGTCGTGAGGGGTTGTGACAGAGGGTCGAGGAAACGGCGTCGAGCCTGGTGATTTTCTCGTTAATTACAGCGTGCAGTACGTGAAGATGGAAGGTCGTAACGCCTGGAAGAACAATCATGGTCAGGTTCGATAACGACTGTACCTTGTAGGACAGGACTCACCCAGCGTTGCCTTGGTGTTGATGGTGGAAGGAGGAACGAAGGCAGGCTGAGGTGGGAATGCAGATCAACGTGTCCGTTGTTCTTATCTAGTCTAATCGTTTGATTCTCGGCTGACCGACGTGGACGTGACCACGGAAGGGTCCTTCCAATGTCCGAAGAACAGCTGCATGTGAGTAATTATTACGCTGCGAAGTATCACCGCCGTCTGTTCGGAGAATTCGAAACCTGACTGACAGCTCACGGAGTCGCCCTCACATACCAGTACGAGAGGTGTTAGGATCGAAAGATCATGGGCACTTTGTGAGTACTAACTGAGGTCACCAACAGTATTAGATAGGCTTTCTCTGCGCGTGCTAGCAGGTGAGCTGAGGCTCCAGAAATCTGAGACAGAGACAATCAGGGGCAAGCAATTTACCTTCCCACTACGGATCTCGGTCACCCCAGCCGCGCCCTCAATGCCTACGTTAATAGCTCCCTCCGAATTAATGTCTGTAGACACGCAATGAGTCTTGTCTCGGCCTTCTTCCCAGCAGCAGCGTGGCTCCCGAGATTCTCACTTCTGGCCAAACAGGGGTCATATCCACATCGACCCGTGGGCCTCACCCATAGACCAAGCGAACCAGCAAAGGATGGACCACTTCAAGATTTTCTCTGCTCGTACTTGAACTCTGAAATCGTCATGTCTATGGAATCCAATGCCGGGGGTTGGTCCGCGCACAGAGCTATACTGCCACCTTGCCTGTGGTCGATTGAAATGTTTTGGTGAGCTTGGTGCTGATGATGAACTGCATAACTAGTAATAGTGCGGTGCTGGAAAACGATGGGCTTGCACCCCCTCTTTCGCTGTTCCTGCAGCCCCTTCGCTGTTATGCTGTCGGCCACTCAGGCCCGCGACTCGGAGGTGCTCAATGACGAAGTAGAATCCGAAGCAAATGATTTTTCGATATAGTTTAGTCGTTCTTTCAAGGCTTTCTGTCTGCTTGATATTCCCTTCCTCCAGCGCCTAACTCGGAAGGGGAATTGCAGCTGGACGCCATTCGAGTACAGGATATATCGTTTAGGGGTAAAATTCTTATCAGCCCGCCTGGCTAGCTCAATCGGTAGAGCGTGAGACTCTTATTACGTAATACGATTGCCATTAAGTCGCATAGCGTTATGGTGGATCTCAAGGCTGCGGGTTCGAGTCCCGCGTTAGGCTACTGTAAGCAGTTCTTTTACTTATTACCTTTTAGTGTTCATTATTCGAGCCACTACAAGTTTTCAGCCCATGCGCACAATCTTCCCGACACCGCTTCAGGTCGTTGTCTGCTTATCTATTAGGACCTAGCCGTATGACATTGAATATCGTTGAAAAAAAAAAAAAAACTACACTACAGCGAGCGTATACGGTACGGCATTCGATCTCATCAACTAATGTTAATAATGATATGTCGATAATGATATGTTGATAATGATATGTCGATGATGATATGTGATCGCGCGGGTATGTACTTCATCGGTCCTTCATCGAATCAATCTTCGCTACCGTGTTCTTGATCGGCGTCGGGTGTGATCATGTCAAGGTTGGAAAGAAGCTGAGTGGCGCGACTGTGCTTGAAAAGCGTTTGAAGCTCGTCCATGGCCGCGGAGCTGCTGCCGCCGAGCATGTACCATTCTCGATCGGCATGGTGTGGGAGAGGATCTTGCTCGTATTCAAGGCCTTCTCGAACTCCCTCAGATAGCTCCCTCTTCCACGTCTCTTGCTTGTTAGCGGAGAGCTAATAATATGAAGCAGGGTGAGTCGACCGAAACCAGAAGGAAGGAAGAGACTCTGTATCGTACTTTACTGAGGACAGGATACTTCTCGTGCTGAACGAGGATTTGTTCGGCGATGAGATCGGCATCGTCCGCTGTACAGGCCTCTGTGTTCCTGCCAAAAGCTTGCTTGATCTCACGGAACCACGTCCGCGAAGGGCATGCCGAGAGCCCGTGAGCAAGCAGCTTGTTAAATTCATCGAATCTAAGAACTGGTCGATCAACACGGTACTATGAGATCATTTTCCATCGCATACCTTAACGTGCACTTTGGGCATTGAAACACGTTTGGGTCTTGCGTCCGCGAGCGAGTGTAAAGCATTTTCCAATCGTCGTGCTCATTGACTCTGCGAATGCCGTCGAGATCAGAGATCAGAACAAAGGTTGGAGCTTCAGAGTGCGCACATGTGCCTTGATACGTGGTACGCCCTCTTCGCGACGTAATCGCAATGCGGACATCCCCAGCCCTTTTCGCCGTCTTGCAGTTCCTACGATATAAAAATGAAGCGGGGCGGGGACGAATCAGTCACATTAGTCCCAGTCGAACATAACCCTGTTGCTTACCACTCTCTTCATAGCATAGTCCAGCTGACGATCGAGAGGTGCGGCAACGTATTTCATCAGCAAGAATGTTGCGTATCCGACTGAAACGTTTTTGAAGATGCTCTTTGGCGCGCCTTCATCGGTGTTGGCATAGCCCGTCCAGTTTCCATCCTCGTCGGGGGTATCGGCGATGTGCGCTAGATCCAGTCCGTCGTCGTCGTCCCGGCAGTTCTCCGGTAACATGAGGGGTGGAATGGTATCGGGATCCTCCGCCACTTCCGTCTCCTCGGCTCGCGCCACGCTTTCCTGGTCTTGTATTTTTTGGGCCGTGCCCTTGAGGAGATTCGCTAGTTTGCGGCCGTGTATTGCCCCTAGTGACCTGGGATGAATGTCGACACTTTCCGCTTCGTCGTTTTCACGATCGGCGAGGTCAGTGATGGCGATTTCGAACCTGCTTTCCTCCACGACGTTGAAATCCAGTTCTTGAATCAAACGAGAGGTGTCGGTCGTGTGATCGAGTTCTCTTGAGGGTTGCTCTTCACGGGTATTCTAAGAAAGAGTTGCGCTCAAATCAGCACGAGAGTGGGTAAGGATGAAGCACACTCGGGTTCCCATACCAGTGCCGCTTGGACTACGGGCGCAGTTTTCCTGATCACGCTTTGGGCATATCGCCTTGCGGCGGTCGTGTCTATCTCCTTTGAAGGACGGGCGTTGCTGAGCTTCGCCAGTAGCCAGTCATCTCGGCGGCGCCGAATAAGTTTGTGTTGGTCCCTGTGATTCTTGAAAGTGCCAACAAAAACCGCGCTCGTCTACCCAGGGGAAAAATGAAAAAGTTAGTCGAGATACAGCAGGGGAGCAGAGAGGAGCATCCACTGACATTGGGGAGATCAGCCGCCGTAAAGGTTTCTGCAGTGAAGTCCTGCAGCTCCTCCGTCCGTAGTTTTTGTCGATAAAGTCGGACGAGAGCGTCGGGAAGCCTCTTGTTATAGCGTACGTGGGGCTGGGTGGTGGCAATATCGGTGATCTGCATCATGATCAAATCGTACTTGTCGGAGGACGATACGGGGGGTTTCGCGGCCCAGTCCTCTGTCTGCCAAGCCTCGAAAGCAAGCTCCAGGTCGCGTTTCTTTTCGCCGGCAACACCGTTCTCCGACTTTGTAAAGTACAAGGAAAGAAAGGCAATCGTTAGAAACGGAGACGAAGCAAAGGCGAGATTACACTCGCACCTGTTCATTGCACCAGGCGATATCTTCCTCATCGTACTGGGGAACTTGAATGGTCTTGACGCTTCCGATGGAGTCGAAGGCTTTCTCAAGTCCTCCACGCTTGACGATGGAGAGGACAGCGATGCTTGAGAAGAATTGGGTTTCCTTTGTTCGCTAAATGCCGTTGGGGTTCAAACTCTAGACTCCAAAGGGGGAGGGGATAGCAACGTCACGTACAGCCCAAATGGCAGCCTTGTCGGGGGACAGTGCAATTTCCCCCCAGAGTATAGGCAATACGGGTATGTTGGCCGTGTTGTGAGAATAGTGATTCCAGAATGTCCCGAGCTTGCCTTCTGAGTGGGCTAGAATATTCGCCGCCACTTGTGCACCCAACTTCATGCCAAGCTACGGCATCCAACGCGAACTTGAATCCAGAGATCGTGAAGGAGAGGGCTGTGCGGACTACGTACCTCGTTCCCTGAACCGCGCCGAATGCCTCGCAAACTTGCGCCGGTGCCGAAACCGAGCTTTATCCCAAGATTCGCAACAGCCGCGCTTAAACTTTTAGCGAGAGCGGGATCAAGCTCCCGCAAGCCCCTGCCTCCCTCTAGGCCCTTAAGAAAACTACATGGGTCAAGGAACGACCGATCAGTGTTGCCCTGACGACTCGAAAGACCGACGTACAAGGGCTCCTCCCGCTTTTCCGGAATCACTTCTAGCACAGCGCCTTCGTATTCCCAGAGTTCCTCCAATGTCTAGAATAGTTCCTAGGTCAATTATGCAAGCAACTTTTGTTGGGAAATCAACGAACGGAAAATTCAAAGGCTCCACGGTACAGTTGATAGAGAATTAGGCACCAGTTGCTCAGGAGAATGAAATCTACGTTGCGCGGTGCGTGCAAGGTGAACGTAAGGGTTTTGGCAATAAGCGTGGAGTTGGAGCCCTAAATGGTCAATGAACATCAGCAACATGGGCATGCACGGATAGGGTGAACAATACCTTGAAGTTGTTGAACACGACTATCGAGTCGAAAGTCATCGCGTCCACGCGACGGTGAGAAATATCTCCAAGTCGCATGTACTGCAAAGGGACAAATCATTCAGTGTACAAGGATATCAACGCGGCAAAGACCATCTTACCTTTCCTTCTTCAATAAAAGATGCATGAGATGCTGCGAGAGTACTCGGCCGGGCAGTAGTGGCAAAGGTCAGAAGCATTGCGCAAATCAACTGCAGCTTCAAGAAGCGGCCCTCCTTTTCCGAGTCGTCAAGAGCTTGTTGCATGAGCATAACCACTTCCTCAGAAGTCAAAAACTTCTGTTTGGGAGGTACTCGTTGGAGTTGCAACTTCTTGGTCACTAGGGTCGGAAAACCAAAGGAATGTGATGACCCGTGACCACAAAAGACTGAGAAAACTTACGAGCGAGGCAGGTTGATTCAAGCTTTACGTAAAGTCCACCAACAAGGAGGTTCATCCCAACAGGGGCAAAGGTCGAGGGATCATGTGTGAAGCGCGTTATAGCCCAACAAAGGTTGGTGAGCCATTCTACGATAGTTCTCGAGAGGACATAGGTTCCGTATTTGCCTTTAGTGTTGTGGGCCTAGAGGTGGACGGTTAAAAAAATCAGCCCCTGAAGTCAAGGCTTGAGAGTTTCACGTACTCGATAAGTCAGGTAATAAGCAGCATGCTTCTCAACCGTCCGCGATATCCATAGGTCCTTTTCCTGGATGTAGAACGGGTTGGTGGTGAAAATTGCTTGCCATGCGTAGAGTAGAATTTCTCTCTTTGCTTTAACATGAACATTCATCGTCTCGTGATCTTCTCTGCTCCATTCCATATATTGTTGCCGCAGTCGGTCCTGGGCCTCGAGGTCACCACCTGCCGCATTCCTAAGTTGAGCGCGAATCTTGCCTCCTTCGCGTGGCTTGAGGTGCAGAGGTTGGACGGTCTGTCTTCCCCCAGTAACGACACCGATGTTGGTGTACCTTTCCTCTTCCTCGGCCGCTGGGGGAGGTACGGAAGGGCCAGCAACCTAGATCACAAAGGGGTCAATCGCAGAAGTCGTGATCGGCGGGGTGGCACACTTACAGGATCTGTTGGTTCAGCGGTTGGACGGTGATTCTCACCGAGCCGAGTAAACATGTCCTTGCTCACATTCCGTGGCGTGATTGATGATGCGGAAGAAGGGTCTTGTTGAACCGTGGCCCGGACAATGCCTTGGTGGGAGTCGGGGCGATACAAAGCGTGGTAGTTTGGACGATCTCGAAAGGAAAGAGTTAGCGTTCACTCGGTCTTTGTTGCAGACATTGAACTCACGGCCGAGTTCACCGGGCGCTATCGGAGGGGCCGCCGAGGTCGAGGGTGCAGGTGCTGGCTGTTGTTTGAGGGCTTGTAAGGTCTCAACAAACCGATGGATGACATCGAGACTGGGCTCATCAAGGGCCCCTAGGACATCGAGCATAGGATTGCGTGGAGTTTCAGCCATGGAGGGGAAGGAAAGGGTGAGGGGTGGAGGAGGGGGAGGGGAGGTGGGACTGGGAGCGACCGCGAGTGGTCTGAGAAGAGGGGTTAAATCCACTTTCCGTTTCCAAATGCTCGTCCACAGTTCACACACGCAGTCATGCACACATCAAGACAGTATCGATTGATCGTTTAT